AACCTTAAATGGCCACCAGCCTGCAGACACTCTTCCTACAACACTTCTGAGGTCTCTCTGGACCTAAAGTCCGCAAATGCAAAATGGACATCACCGTCATAGAACTCCCCCCAGGGCTAAAGGACGACAGCATCTACACACAGGAAATGTCTCTGACAACAAGTGCCGCAGAGACGCAGCAGGCAGTAGATGGGTGAGAAGCCGCACCTCGGCAGCTGAGCTTCTCCCTGCTGTTTCTGACAGTTCCCCCTGTAGACGAGATGGCTCCTCCCACCCTCAGTAACGGCACAGACCTGTCCTGGATGCCGCAGAGCTGCTCCGCCCGCCTACTGGCGTCCCACGTGGGCGAGCCCTGCCACTTACTTGAGGAAAGACAGTGACCACTGGTACTTCTGAAGTCTCCAGGCCCAGGCGAGAGGAGACAAGCCCGGAGCACTGGGGCAGCACTGCAGCAGCGCAGTGACCGCGTCGTCACTTCTGCTGGAAGGAAAGCCTGCGGTGCTCGGCCCTGATCTCTAGAAGACACCCTGGCTTTTCAGTCACTAACAGCTCACCAGCTCTCGGCCTGCTACCTAGAGAAAAGCTGGCAATCGCTTCTTTAATTGCATGTTTAACTGCCATTCTGCAGTGTGCAGGTAAGTTATTCCACTGAGACTAGAACTCTGGACATCCCAGGGCACCACGGCGCAGGGCTTGGATCTCTGTGAGGAAGCCTTGCTCTCGGCTGAAACACGCTCCACGCATCCAGAATCCCATTTTAAAATGCAAGATCACTGGGGCCAGTAGATGGCATGGTGGTTAAGGGCACTGGACTCCCACATGGCCAACCAAGGTTCAAGTCCCAGACCTGGCAGCTTGCTTTCTCACTTTCCTTCCCTCTCTCTCTCTCTTACTCTGTCCCTCTCTGGTTAAATTTAAATAAATAAATTAATAATTAAATATTAAAAAATGATTCTTTAAAAAAATGCAAGATCATTTAGGGATAAAACTCTCTACTGGAGAAAATTACTTCAAAATATACTAGTTCTGTGTTCAGTCATACAGGAAATTGAAACTACTGGAAAAAGTCACATTTTAAAAATATCCGTCTACTCATAAAGGGCCAATGCACAGAGCTGGGACGGTCTCTCCTGCCTCTCACCATCGGGATGGCAGAGCCAGCTGCTACAGCTCCACCTGGAGATGCCAGGGTGCTCGCTCAGACAGCACGAGTGTTCTGTATTAGGGACCGGAGTCGTAAGTTTAACTTTCCATCTTGATCTCTACCACGCGTGGAGTTTCAGCACACGCATCCCCTCATGCCTTAAAAATGCATACCTTGTCATTTCGCTCGTGGTCCCTCATGTGGCGTTGAAACTGGGACTCTTTTGGAAATGAGAGCAGACAGATTTCACATTTATGGAAGTTTGGAACTTGATAGGCATAATTAGTGTTCTCCGCATTCAATGTTAACACTCCATCTGTAAAATTGCATAAGTATAGACAATAAATACCATGTTATTTATGTACTCTCATCACATAAATACAGCTAAGTTATTTAGTTTTTGTTGAAAAGCAAATCATGTCAGATTTCAGAGAGGTTTTGGAAGAAACACAAGATATACTGAACTTTCTAAATGGACATGCTCTAAAGCTGAAAACGAGAACAGCTGAGATGAGTGAGCCGTGGAAGAACGGAATTCTAAACAAGCACTGGTCAGGCTTTTAGAAACCGGAAGCTGAATTCCTGCGGCTTGATGGCCACACACAGAGCGTGGTGACATTCCTTCCACTCAGCCGGCATACTCCACTCGGCCTACTCCACTCAGTCTATTCCACGCGGCTTACTCCACTCGGCCTACTCCATGTCGGCCTACTCCATGCCCGACTACTCCACACGGCCGCCTACTCCACGCAGCCTACTCCACTCGGCCTACTCCACGCGGCAGCCTACTCCACGCAGCTTACTCCACTCGGCCTACTCCATGCCCGACTACTCCACGCAGCTGCCTACTCCACTCAGCAGCCTACTCGACGCCCGACTACTCCACACGGCCGCCTACTCCACTCGGCCTACTCCATGCGGCAGCCTACTCCACGCGGCCTACTCCATGCCCGACTACTCCACGCAGCTGCCTACTCCACTCAGCAGCCTACTCCATGAGGCCTACTCCATGAGGCCGCCTACTCCAAGCGGCTGCCTACTCCACGTGGGCCTGCTACAGCTTCAGGTCGCTAAAAACAGCAGTCACTGCAGGGTCCCTATCTAAGTCACTGTGAGCAGCCCAGACAGTCCAATCTTTGTTAAACCACTCAGCAAACACCACTCCAGTAGTGCACATAAGCCGCCCAATGGTCATCCCTCGTTTCCTCCATCTCCAGGAAGCACTCCGTGGCTCCCTCACAGTCACGCTTCAGGGAGATAAGGGACCGCCTGAACTGCAGCGCTGGAGCCCAACAGCCGATGGAAGTTCGGATCCCTGGGTCAGCCTGATAGCAGGCCTGGTCAGGGCACCAGGATCCTGAGCTGAGCGCTGTGGAGAGGGGCCGCAGGGGGACAAGATGAGCCAGCGCGCTCTCTGTCATGAATAAAATAGATAGAATGGAAGGAAAAATGAAGATAAGGGATTACGATGCCTCAGACAAGCCTCTTTTTCCACAAAGGGCTCGCATAAACCCACCCAGAGAAACTGCTATATAAACTTACAAGCGCGGTACTGTCGACTGAGAGTGTGACGAAGAACAGAGCACAGAATGCGAGAAGGCGTCAAGACTGCCATAACCTAAAGACGTCCTCAATCTCTCCAACTTGTCGAGTACGTCTCCTGTGTCATGCAGGCTCAAGTATGTACTGTGCCCTAACTGAACAGGACTAGAAATATGTAGCATACGATTCTTTGTTGATATCAAGTCCGATGCAAAATATTACAATCCAGAAAACTAGGAGAAGAGTGGGAGTTTAAGGGAGACCCCGGGCGCACAAGTCAGCCCTGACTTCTCCAGAGCCTGTGTTACAAACACGGCATTTGGCATTTCCACAGACCTTCGAATCCTGCTTTGAGCGGCCAGCCAGCAATTCCCACCCGTGCCAGCATTCTCCCCCTAAGGTGGCCCCGCCTGGCAGCGAGGACCGTGAACTCCGAGAGCAAAGGGAAGTGGGCTGGAGACTAAGTAGGACAGCACAGAGACCACTGCGGCAGCTGCGGATGTTTTTCTGGCAGGTCCTTGAGAAAGGGCAAATTTCGGCTTCAAGAAATACCAATATAATCCAAACGCTGCAACTTCATGCGTAAAAACACGAGTCTACTAAGAAAAACAGACATGCGGTTTTGATACTGTTTATTCTTAATCTACCCGCGTTCTGTTCAAAGATGATACTTTTAAAACGGCCACACTAAACTAATCGCAAACGCGTTTTATGACTCCACAGGTCCAAACGAGGCTGTGAGGACCAGGACGGTGCCTCCCCGTGACGAGCTGTAATAGGCTAAGAACTGGTTCGGAACTTAGGAAGGTCCGAGGGAAACACCTGCTGGAAACTGTGGCTTTCGAAATTCATGTAGAACGCCTCCTAACCTAAAAGCTGGCTACAGTAACAAAAGAGCTCTTTGGCTTAATTCCTGAATGAAAAATTAATAAAGCTATTTCAGGATGTGGAATAAAACAATTTTCACAGCTTCTGTGTTGAAACTGCTTAACGCGTTACCCAAAAATGAGAAGGGAGTTAATTAACTGCAGGTAATAGAGAAACCCCTAAGGGACGTGAAAATATGTTTGAAATTTTAAAATGATGCTTATGTATTAAGACTTTTCAAAAAGTTTTTTATCTTAAGAAGCAAGACTTCCTTCCTTATAACACAGCTCAAAATATAATAAATTACTTTTCCAGTAAGTCCCTTCTTCTAAGCAGTGATAAAAGAGTATTAATTTGGTTCAAAGATAAACTTAAAACAATAATTTAAAGTGTGACTGAAAAAAATAAAAATAAAGCCCGTGCATTCCGTTTTCCCCTGAGTGTGAGTGTGAATCAGGTCATCTCTGACTTCCAGCCCGCCTGGGGACCGCGCCCGCCAGGGCGCCCTGCCATGCAGCCTCTCCGTGGACCTGCCGGCGCCGGGACTGCTGTGCTCTGCTTCCCTCTGCTCAGCCGGCCCTTTCTGGGCAGTGTCTGAGGCCTCCAAGTGACACCTTTTGTCCTGCAGGTTTTCAAGTTCATTTGAATTCTGGTCCCAGAGTATCCAACGGCCAGAAAGAGGCCTGTTAAAATCAGCGCACCTGCAGGCAGTGAGGGCCTCAGGAGGGCTGCGGCCCCGGGAACCCACATGCACGCTCCATAGGCCTGGGCTGCGGCCACTGGACTGGGCCTCTCAGGCCACAGGCCCATCAGGTCCTTTAAGACAGGAGCAAACGAAGGATGCCTCGTCCTGAGCGCAGCCACAGCTTCTGGGCTGCTAGCACTTGGGAGATCTGGACAGCAGGCACCCCGCGTCTCCCCAGTCACCTGTGTCCGAGCCCCCCTCACACACACAGTAAGTGCAAGCCACCTGCACCGAGCGCTGTCAGACCAAGAGTGCCTCCAGGACGGGAAGAGAGGGGTGGAGGGAGCACCTGCACACTTGGCAGGAGTGGGGCTCACACAGAGCTCTGAGGCACAAGACGGCCTCCGCGTCCCAATCACTCACTGCCCCCCGGGAGCCCCACACTTGCTGCCGAGGTCACACAAACTGCCTGCCTGTACAGGGACGGGAAGTCTGACAGCGCCTCTGGCCTTGAGAGAAGCTTGGAGACTAGTTTCAGAACCAACTGGAGACTCCATGGAAGGAAAGAGTCAAGCTGTATATAACAGATGCCTACCACCCCCAAAATAATAAAGCCTGCCTCGGAATTGTAAAGAACAAGCAAACACAACGCTTCCTGAGGCTTCAGGGACGAGAGCCTACCATTAATTCAGGAGCAGGGCCATTTCCCAGGCGTAATGCCAACCCCCGCTCGACGCCTGGCATGTGGCACCAGAGCCCCTACGGCACGGCCGCACTCAGGTCTGCACTGAGTCAGGCCCACGGGCACTAGCACTTGTCCTGGGTCAGGCTCAGCAAACCGTGAACCAGTTAAACCTCAGTGCCAGGGGGCTGCCTCACCCCCACATAAAGACCCCACAGTGGTATTCTGGATGACACCAAGGTCCAGCCAAGTCCTTGCACCTAAGGTGCTCTGCAGATTTAATTCAAAATTTTATCTCAAGACAAACTCTTAAGCACTGTGCACCTGAGCTCTCAGCTATGTATAAATCCCAATGAAGTATTTTTAATGTAAAAATGAGAGCAGGATCACTCAACTCCCATGTAGTCAATTGCAGTTCAAGTCCCAGACCCGGCAGCTTGAAACAGACTCCGGGTGCGTGTGCATACATGCCCAAAATTCCAAGAGGAGCAGGAAGGAGAGGGATTGTGGCATGGCCATCCCCTCAGGAGGGGTGATCTCTCACTCTCTCTCTGTCTTTCCAGTGAGGGCGCGTGCCTTATAGCAACAATTTCTCTAAGGAAAAAAAATTTAAATGAGAGCTACATCAGTTCCAATTTTCTAAAGAAACTGAGCTAACCCCCAAACGTTTTACTTCTTTGATTTGAACAAAAAAATCCCTCTAAATGTGGTTGCTCTTCCCACCTGGGCTGCTAGTCCCCACTCCCCTCGGTCCCTTCTCATCACTCTGCTCCCTGAGACATGGCCCTTACCCAGGAACTGCATGCTTCCACCTTTACAACGTCCCCTCACCTCACTACCACCAGGTACTGTCTACCAGGAGATCTGCGAGTCCTCCCACCCTGCGCTGCCCCCTCCTTCAGCCTCCCCCGGTGGACTCGTCCACCTCGCGAGCTGCTTGGGAACAGACAAACACTCACGACTCTCCCTCAACAACACGGGGTCTTACTTCCCACGGCCCTCCCGCCTCAGCCTCCTGCGTGGGCTGCACACATGCGCCGCCAGGCCTGGCTCCTGTTCTACCTCCCTGTGGGCTCACCATGCCTCCTGGGCCTGCCTGGGCCTCCCTGAATCATGGGGTCACAGGCTCATGCCACCACGACAGGCCATCAGGTGGGACGAAGAATCAAACCCAGGCCTCCCTATGGTCCCAGCCTGCACAGCACAACGTCTGAACAGCACGCCCACCGCCGCAGCCCACTACTGGCTTCGTGCCTCCTTCCGCTTGCCCACTGCTCTCGAAACCAATAAACCCAGTTTCTGCACTCAGCCTCCGGCCTGCCTGCCCAGCTTAGATTTAACACGGCACTTTCCAGAGTGCTGTGTACCTGCCGACTGTGTGTATGCGGGACTGCGGCCCTTGGTCATCTGCTTGCTCCTGGGAGCTGGCCTCGCTATTCCCTTTGTAGAATTTCTCTAGGAACACCACACCACCTGCCTGGGGCCCGAGGACCAGCCACATCGCCTGCTCTAAAGAAGGGCCTCATCTCCCCGAG